CTGTCTTTTTGGAAATTAAGGTCTTACCTTCACTTCTTGTCTTGAGTCAAAGGTTTTTTTTTTCCAGTCTGCAACTAAATTTTTCCCTTTGTTACCAATAACACCTTGTAATGAATTAAATGCCATTTGACCTATGGATGAAAATCAAGCAGAGAAATGATCCTTGCAGGTGGCATGAATCTTTTGTAGTTGCAGGAAAGAAGTCTGAAAAAATTCAGGCTTAAATTTCAGGATTCAAATTGGTGCCTCCTCTCTGGAAGTCCACCTGTGAGGATCATTTGTTTGCTTGATTTGTTACTAATATTAACTAAACTTAAAAAACAAAACAAAACAAAACAAAAAACACTTCTGGCTGTGACTCAGACATGACTTTTGTGATGACCTTTGGTCTGTTTGTCAGAACATCAGTCACTGCAATTTGTAAATACTACTATCAATCTATTTCAGGACTATCTTATGTTCTACTTTTGTAAAAATCACCATAAATTGTCTTAAAATTCACATTGCCACATATTTTTTTTCCCAACACTCCACTCAGTTTTGTTTGATATAAATTGTAGTTTTTTTGTCATCACAGAGTGGCTGCCACCAAGAGTCCCATCATTTTTATCGGTACTGGGGAACATATTGATGATTTTGAACCATTCAAGACAAGACCATTTATCAGTAAACTGTTGGGTAGGTTTTAATACAGATTAATCTACTATTAATATCAGTTGGTACACAATACATTGGGTTGAAATTCTATAAAAACCCAGTGCTTTGTCATTTACTCTTACACTTTACAACCTAAACATCAGTATGCATATTCTCCATACAGTTCTCTATAAATTTCTGAAGGTGCTGATAAGGGGAATTTTTTTAACAATCCAGAGCTTCTTTAGTTGGTGATCATTTCCTTTATTCTTGCGACCTTAATGTGTGATTCAGGGTTGAAATTGTAAGGAGAAATTAGATGCTGGTCATTTAGGGATGGAAGGGTCAAGTAACAACTCTGTGTTTATTCAAAGGTAGACTAATGTGAATTAACAAAGAGCTTAAGCTTGAAACATCAGCTTTAAGACTCTTTAACAGTGGCCAATTTACGCTATCAACTGAGTTGATCATACTAAATTACCCTGTAATGCGAACTAAGTGCTCTCTTCTTGTGTCTTCTTTAGGAATGGGAGACATTGAAGGACTGATTGATAAAGTCAACGAATTGAAGCTTGAAGACAATGAGGAACTTATTGACAAGCTCAAACATGGTGAGAACTCCTAAACAGATAGAAGTGACATATCTATTTACTAGGTTTTTAAAGGCAATGATATACTGGTCATAGTAATAAAATTAATGTAAGTGGCAATTCATGTGGCCTAATCTTTTATTTATGTAGGTGTTTTCAGTTTACGAGATATGTATGAACAGTTCCAGAACATCATGAAGATGGGGCCATTTGGCCAAATCATGGTAAGCAGCTTTCGGATATTCGTATTTATGGCCCTATTCTTTAAACAGTAGTCTGAAGCAGGATAGCAAAGGAGACAGTGCTCAAGCTGTTTTAGTTGTTAACACCAATGAAATTAAATCTGACTCTTCTTTCAAATTTAACCCGTGCAATTACTGAAATGTTTCTATTAATTTTTGTTTCTTTGTTTTTGTTGTTTTTTTAGGGTATGATACCTGGGTTCAGTAGTGACTTCTTGTCAAAAGGAAATGAACAGGAGTCAATGGCGAGATTAAAAAAGCTAATGACCATTATGGACAGCATGAATGATGAAGGTAAAATTTCTGTTACTGCTATGTTCGAGTTCTAGGGGATCGTTTCTTATTCCACCAGGGGCATGGATCTGTATTTATTTTGCCTGAGGAAAGGTAGTCTTCGTAGGGGTGTCATGCATCGCTTCTTGCGTGACATCCCGTAGAATGACTATGAACGACCTCAGAGGAAGTTACTTCTAAACAATAAATTAAAAAAGTGATAGACCTCTTAGATTACTATGCTAGGAAGGTTTGGCCTCACACAGAAAAGCTACAATTTCAAACCGCGCGTGCTATAGTATTCAGTAGGATTGTACAATGCAGTGCTGAATAAAAAGAAGGTTTATTTACAGAAACTTTTAATTTTCGTGTTAAAATACGACGACTCTTTTCATTTTCAGAACTTGATAGTCCCAATGGCGCAAAGCTGTTTTCCCGCCAACCGGGGCGTTCCACGCGGGTAGCACGTGGCTGCGGCGTGTCTGTCCGAGAGGTGCAAGAGCTCTTGTCACAATACACCAAATTTGCCGCAATGGTGAAGAAAATGGGTGGAATTAAGGGCTTATTTAAAGGTAACTTCGCCCTTTTACGAAAATTAACTGCTTTACTTTATCAATTTTGTGATTTGCGCGTTTTCCCGCCCTTGAAAAAGTTCACTTCGGTTCCTTTGAGTTCGGATTGGCTCCTTGTAATATTTCCTCTGTTCTGATTGGTACCCGTGATCAAAAACCATTGTGCATATTTTTTCGTGAACTGACAAGAGTACATACTTGAGGTAAGCCAAAAGTCAAACAAAAATGACTTTCTTGTAACAGAAGCGGATGTCTTCTCACCCTCTTTCCCATTCTATTTTTTTTTTCCATTTCAGGAGGTGACATGAGCAAAAATGTGAATCCGTCGCAGATGGCCAAACTCAATCAACAGATGGCCAAGATGATGGACCCCAGGGTCCTCCAACAAATGGGTGCGTGTTCAGTGCGATCAACCAGAATTTTTCAACAAATTTCTTTGTATGAAGACATTTCTTTTGCAGTGAAACTCTCTTCTCCAGTTACATCACAGTTACGCCGACAATTACGCCGTTGTAGCTTTGTCAAAAATAAGGCACCAATGGCGGTGATACACACAGGGAAACGAAGCATTTTATTGAGCCCGACGGTTGCCAAATTCTGCTTTCGCAGATATTTACCGGATGATAGATCTAAGATCACGCTACCCCTTTTATTAGTGTATGATAAATTTCGCTTTTGTTGTTTTCGCTGACAGTTTGATTTCATTTTCAGGCGGAACCCAGGGCCTCCAGTCCATGATGCGTCAGTTCCAACAAGGCGCGGCCGCTCATGCGAGTGGGTCAAGAAAATAATCAATAGTCAACCAGCCTCAACAATACAAAATTTTTTTAATAGCTGTTTCGTTTCAAATACCATATCATATATTACAATAGCAAGTCGTTCTAACCAACTTCAGCAACATAGAGCTTTATATTAAGCAATAAAACCCTTTCACTCCCAAGGTCAAAATATAAATTCTCTACACTGTTTGCATATATTTCTTATAATTTTAGCATAGTGAATTTGGTATCAAATCAAGCAACATTCCTGGACTGGTATTTTTCTATCTTCTCATTGCCTTTCTGATGAAAATGTATCGGTACTGTAAGGAGAAAATTCTCTTTGGTCACTCTTGGGAGTGAAAGAGTTCAACTGCTATCTCATAAAGGGGTAATGTAGTACTATCAACTGTGTTAATAACGTAAATCTGTCACCGTAGAAAGTTTGAATAACGACCTGCTTCTAGGCACTCCCACTTTGTCAACGCGAAGATTGGCCTGGTAGCGACTTGTGGGTTTCCAAGGGGGTTTTTTTTACTCAAAACCATCGCTTTTTGCGCCCAAAACAAGGCGCAGTTGATGGCGGGTAAGTGTCTGGGATAGCTCTGGTCTGCTTCAATACGGACTTGGTTTGTTCGAGAAACCCGCTCCATCTTCCCATTTAATGTAAAATGGCGTCTTGTTAGTTTGCGTGTTTCTATTTAGGGGTCTCAAGGGCTGCCTGTGAAAATTTCCACTGCTTTCGTTAGCTGTTGCTCTCGTTTTTTTAGTTTTGTGACACTCAATTGAAATACCCACTAAATGTAAAAGGAAATAAGAATTTATCAATTATTTCTTTCAAAAAACACATTCTACTTGAAGCTTGAAGACTGAAACTCTCGAAGTTTACGTACTTGAACAAGTTCTCTTGTCCTCGAGAATTGTCCATGTTCAAAGGCAGAAGGTGCCCATCAGATTGAGTTACATTTATTCATAATGTACAGATGGATTATGAGAAATAAAGTAAAGTACTCTGAGATAGTTATGTTCACTTTCGTACTGGAGTAAATCTTACGTCTGGTAGTAGCCTCGTCTTTGAAACACATCGAAAAAGAGAGAAACTTAAAAAACGGCTGTATTGAAATTTGCCCCGCCATTTTGCTCGTCCTCGCCGACTGAGTGCCAAAAATAGAAGGTTATGAATAAGCCTTGGGACTGTAAAACGTGTGTCGTGAGGAATTTTAGGTGGGTTTACATCTGGAAAAGCATGTCAGCCAAATAGATAAAGTAATATTTGGTTAAAAATTGGAACTGTGACTTAAAAACTGCTGCGACTAACACATGACGAAAAGCGATCAGAGTTCGAATCCAGTTTTATGTCTCAATTTATCAAGGCTCTCCATTTTGTAAGTGTTTCACTTGTCAGCCGCAGAATTATAGCAATTTCTTAAGAGTTACTAACCTTGCTCAGTAACCTTAGAACCTTAGAGATCTTACAAGAGAGGAATTCATTAACCTGAGTAAGATTTTTGCATTTTTGCTTACATTTTTGCTTACATTTTTGCTTACATTTTTGCTTACATTTTTGCTTACATTTTTGCTTACAAGAGAGGAATTCATTAACCTAAGTAAGATTTTTGCATTTTTGCTTGAAGATAGAAGCGGTGACAACCGCCCGTAGTGACGACCAAATTGCCTTGCAATAAAACTTTCTTAGTTGAAAAATAAAATAGCCTTACTTTTGGCACCATATCAGGAAAAAATGAGGTTACAGCCTCTGTGCGAGCTTGTTTTCCCCTTTTTTTTTTTTTTGTTCCTTTAAAAGCACATCTTTCAAACATTTCTCTCTTGAGCCAGGGCTTGGACTTGAGAGAGATGCTAGAAGTCAATTATCGCCAGGCGTTACTTGGCGTTTACGTCATTTCCCGTGATGCCTTAAGCGCCCTCTTTTATTCTGGGCAATATGGCGGTAGGTCTCGAAATTCACGTGGCCAAATTAAAGTATATTTCGCCCCTTTGAATTCAGTTTCCTCAACCCGATCCTGCTATATTTCTTGTATCTGGTGCTTCCTTTAACCTTCCAGATATGGCTTAAAGTATTTTTCAGTAGAAATATCGTGATCTTCGTGATAAATCGGTACTGATTAAATTTGTTGAATTTATCCTCTTGAGCCAAGCCTGTCGGTGTTTTTAGACTGGATTGTGGTGCAATTTAAAACCTTTTTCCCCCTTTATAGGTCACTTATTTTCTAACATTAACTCTAAAAACTATTGAATATGCATAAAAAGTACAATTCGTCGCGGGTTATTCCTTGATTCCTTTTTAAAGAAGGAACTGTTTTAGCTGTAAGCAGCCAATCGAAACTAGCCCGCCGACATTGGAGTTTAGACAGAGGCATGCAGTTCTGCTGCGTGGTTCATTTCGAATCTTTGGTCAATTTTGCGGGCGATCTTACGTAGATCAAATAAGGCATTTTTCTCACAGATCCAGTAATGATTTTTTGGTTTGTACAAGTCCAATTTAAACGAAGAACAAAGATTAATTAATGACTTTGATTACCGATTGTTAAATGCTTTTCTTAATTTCCCCGAGTGAATCAGAGAAGCAAGAGTTCACTGAGGCTGTTAATCTGCGCTATTCGTTTAAATTCGTTTACTTTTTATACTTTCAAAACAACTCGGTCCAGGTTAAGTTTATTTCATCATGGATTTGTGCTTTGTTCGTCATCAACTTTGTCAAGTAAATATTATTAAACATTATTGCATTCCTCAGCCAAGAACCTTCTCAGCATAATTGATCCAAAGAAAATTCACAGCCTTATGTGAGCCATGTGCTGATGGCTTAGTCAATTTGTGTTGTACATATTTACTCATATTTTGAGAAAATCCTGTACCAGTTGTTGCTGTTTATTTAAACTCTTAACTCTCAGATGTGATTAACATGTAAGTTCTTCCTACCATATCCATACATTATTCAGCAAACAGGTAATGAGAATACTAAAACTCATCAGGTAGAAGTTGTCATCTTGATCTAACACTTAATTCTTGAAACTAATTGACATGGAAATGTGAATGAATCTTTATGAAGAAAATCAAGATGCAAAGTTAAACCTTTTCTAGTCTAAACTTTCCACCATTTCTTGTAGAAAGATTCTACACAGCACCAAAATCATTACAACAAAGACTTGCAGTAGTTGATGTTATTATCTTATTTTTACTCAGTCGGGGGAAAATTCCCAGAAGCAAAATGTCATGCGAGACCTCCGTATCCGTAAGCTGTGCTTAAACATCTGTGTTGGTGAAAGTGGTGATCGTCTGACAAGAGCTGCAAAGGTTCTTGAACAGCTGACCGGGCAGCAGCCAGTTTATTCTAAAGGTAATTTATTTTTCTCATTGTGATTTAGTAATTTTTTGTGTGATTTTAATTGTGATGTTGGATTATTCTGTTGTTCAGATCAATTTTCAATTGAGCATGGAAAGTACTTCAGGATAGCTTTGTTTTTTTGCATTGTTTTGTCATGTGATTGGTCCAGGAAACTCACGTCACTTTCTCAACCAATCAATGGTGACTTGGTAACTCACTTTCCCTGCCCTTTAGACAGTTTTCTTGATTGTACTTTGAGTTCTCATTGGCTGCTTGTGATATTTTCCTTCCTATGATTGGCTGTTTTATGTAATTTGAGTTTGCTTTTACATCACCCAAAAAAACGCATCCTATTTGTTGGTTTCTTTGCCTTGCTTCACTCTCCTCTGCTTTTCTCTGCCTTTCTCTCTGCTATTCATTCTTCACTCTTCACACTCTAGCTTTGTTTCACTCTATGCTTTGCAAAGGAAATTTGTGCCTTTCACTCTCGTAGCCAATTAGATGCAAAACCATTATTACACCAAATCATGCTTTCCCTTTTTTTAGGCTGTTTATGTGTGTCTACATGTCTCTTTGAGATAGTTACTTTTCTTCTTATTGGCTACTGTAGTTAACCATTTTTTCTTTTACAACAGTCTATCTGAAAGCATTCTATCCATCACAACATATGTTTAGTGTAACAAGTTCTTGAGGGCTTTAACAAAGTGAATTGGTTCATAAAAAAGCACTTTTCATCTATCATCAATGTTTACTACACCTTAGTTGCCAGAAAGGGATCACAAGTAACATGTGTTTGTTGCTGCCTTTTCACAGGAACAATTGATCAAATGTTAGTTAAACACAGTAGTTGTTTCCATGCCATACAGTTTCTCTGTATGATTTTTTGAAAAGCCTGATTTTCTTCATAGCCCGCTACACTGTGCGTTCATTTGGCATTCGTCGTAATGAGAAGATTGCTGTACACTGCACTGTGCGAGGTGCCAAAGCTGAAGAAATCCTAGAGAAGGGTTTGAAGGTAAACATAGGCTCTCAAAATATGTAGAATCTGAGTCCTTTTCTGATATCTCAAATGTATGCTTCAGGAAATTTGATGCTAATCAAGGTATTTTTGCATGGATGATGATTGAGGGTGTGTGTAGTTCAAATATACAATTCCTTCTCTTGCTAACCAAGGTCCATACTGTAAGTTATAGACCAAGTTTTTCCTGCTTGAATCTATAACTAAAAAAAAAAAAAAAAAAAGAAAGAAAGAAAGAAAGAAAACAGCCCACTGAATTGACTAATCATAGTGTACATACTAACTGAGAGACGATATAAAAGCATTTACAACAGAGGTAGAGTTCACTGGTAGGAACAATCTGATGTTAAATAACAAGACATTTAGCCTTGTGGACTCCAGATGGATAAGACAAGGGCAAATCCTGACTGGGTCTTTGTGTGGTGTTTGTGGACATTACACCTGCTTATAACACCTCTCCCCACCCAGGGGTTGATATGAGTTTGAGTATTCTCATTATCTGTTAGCTGGATAATGTATGGATATTATTGGGAGAAGTTGCATATCGATCACTGCTGGGAGTTAAAGGGTTAAAGCTCAACTTGTACTAATGTATGACCAGGCTTAGATTTAACATAGGCAGACTGGAACTAAGTGGTTTTTGTTTTTTGTTTTAATAGGTTCGTGAATATGAGCTTTCAAAGGATAACTTCTCTAAAACTGGAAACTTTGGTTTTGGAATCCAAGAACATATTGATCTTGGAATTAAATATGACCCCAGTATTGGGATTTATGGCATGGATTTCTATGTAGTGCTGGGACGTCCTGGTTTCAGTGTTGCTGAACGAAAAAGGAAGCAATCCAGAATTGGTTACAAGCATCTGATATCAAAGGATGAATCCATGAAGTGGTTCCAACAGAAGGTAACACCTGGAAACCCTTATACTTTAACGTCACTATGCATATTCTTCACTCTTTTCTCTACACATTGCCTTTGGTATTGAAAAGGAGAATTTGTCAAACAATCAATTGTCTCATTAGTTTGTAGTCATTTCCTTTATTGTCATGATTTTATATTTGATACAAAGGTGATACTGTCCAGAGAAATTAGACATCAGTCACTCTAAAGGGAGGCAGGCCCCTATTAAAACTGGCTTAAAGCTGAACTGGACCAGTCTGCTTAACCCTTTAACTTTGGGGAGCTAAGCCAATTTGGCAATAGTTTGAAAATACTCATACAGCTGTGACTCTTATTATTACTGCTTTTCAGTGGCTGACTTTCCAAATGTGGTTTACTCTCTTTTGATAACGGACTGATAGAAATTTTTATTACTAGTAGCACTCTTCAAATGACTTCTTCACTTCATTAATACATCCAAAGAACTGGACAAAATGAACAGACTGAAAACAGATCAGTTTTTGCAATCACAACGTGTAATGTTTGACTGATAAACAACTTCACTTTGTCTCCGATGAGCTGTTGATTATTCTAATTCACACTGACAAAACTTAAGTGACTATCATAAATTTCAGTCCTTTTTAGGACTTCCCCTCCCCTGGACAATTTACAAGATCATTTGTTACCACCACCCCTCCCCTTTCTCGCCAGCTCTACACAGCTTATTTTGTTATACTTTTATGTTAATATTGTTTTGTTTTGGTTTTTTTTTTTAGTATGACGGTATATTGTTGCCATCAAAGAAGAAGAAGTGATGTAGTGGTTTCCTTTTTTTTGTAAATTCTTTGCCTTCAAATCTGCCCAATTAAATGCTGGATGAATTATGTCTGTTGTTTTGATTTTTATAGAACTGATAAGTTGATGTCCTCAAGGAAAAAAGTATATTTGTATGCCAACATACTCAATCATGTTAGGTATTGATAGAATTGTGAATTTTGTCTCGTTCAATATTTATGATTAAGATTTGTTGTATGCAAGGGTTTGCATGCATCGAGACATTAAGCATACAGGAAGTTTGAAGAGTACAAAAGATTCTTAAGAGGTGCTCAAGATATTACTACAAGCAAAAGAAGCCTCTTCAGCACTCATCAAACTCCTGAAGGGCTTCACACCAGGATGAAAAACAGCTGACACATAAACCTATTTTTTACGTTTTCAAAGTGGAAGTTAAAATTTTATTTGAAAGAAAACTTCATCTGCTATGCTCCAGTGCTTACAACTCATCAACATGCACAGTGGCATATGAAACATATTTACAGCATTGAATTTGATTGCACAAATTTACTAGCTATGGGATGAAAGGTGCTAACAATACACATATTTTAGAAGAGAGAACATATGAGGTTCTTATTTTTATGTCAGAAATGATATCATGCCTGAACAGTTGCTTGAAAAGTTCAAATGACAGATGTTTCCACTCAGCATTCAATTCATGTCAATACCCTAGCTTTTCAACCAATGTTTTAGAAAAAGGAATACTTTAACTTGGATTTGCAATTAAAATCTTAAAATTTACAACACCAAATAAACAAACCAAGACGTTAAAATAAAAGTTTGGACGATTTATCGTTACAGACAAACTCCATTATTATATGCTAGCCTTACAATGAAAACTCTGAAAAGGCGAGAGCATTCAATCAATATACAATGGAGTGTGAAGTTGACATGATAACCCATTAGAATAACCCAATATCTGCTACAGATATCGAGTTCAAAGGCTGCTAAGTTTCCAAGCCCCTCGCTCGTGTAGCGCTGTTCTCAAACTTTTGCAAACTCTAAGAGAGTGTCTTCTTTTGCAGATTGTTTAAAAAATGTATAATTAAAACAATTATTGAATTCGGTCTTCGCATGGTATCAAGAAGTATCAAACCTCGCGACTGTGTTATCTGCCTCAGCCTTCAGCCTCCAGCCTCGGTAAATAACGACGACCACGGCATTGATTATTCATGAAATTCTCAGCCTCCACCAGTAGTTAGCAATAGACAGCTTTTCATCGAGGAAGCCCTCATTTAAAAAATATTTCCACAGCGGTGTGCCTCAGGAGAGCTGATTTAACCCCTACGAATAAAGGTAATAACTTTCTAAAGGAACTCTGGTGCTGCGTTGGTGAGGGGTAGAACAAGATAATTTAGTTGATAAAGTAAATTGGCCACCATAAAAAATGTTTCTACAGCTGACGTTAGAGCTTGGTCAGAGCGAATGACTGAACCAAATTATCTGATTTAGCCGGGCTCAGTTGTACCTCATCCAGAAATGTCTACAAAGAAATCTGACCGATGCAACGGCGTAATTCCGAAACTGATGTACATATCATGATTATATTCTTGGTGATGGACGTCGTTTCCCTCCAACCATAATCAACGTAAACCACTGCTCGAATTATCAAAGTTGCCAGGTTAACGAGAATCAATCCTATAAGTCAATAAACCTTCGCTCCGTTTTCGCTTCCGGGCGAGTGATGCGCTAGTTCTAGAAATTCCCACGCTGCAAGCAACAGACATCCAGAAGCAAGGCTGATCATGCCCAGTCCAAGTCCTTTGGGTGCCCCATTGCCACTATAGTTCAAAACAGTGTCTACCATGTCGATGGCGTCGAATATTTGTACAGACATTGTAGCAAACAACCATCCAGATTCCCCGTGAAATTCGGTGCCTCCTTCGCCAGCAGTGTTCAAAAAGAGCAGCAAAATAAATGGTGTGATACAAAGAACTGTGACAAAAATCGTCCGCCCGAATAGAACACGATTCACGACTAGTAAATTTGGTATAAATACTACTATAATGTCTGTTATTAACAGAAAAGTATACCCAAACCAACTGTAAGAGTAATAATGCCGTTCCTCAAATTTCCACGTGCAGAAAAAAAATACGATCTGGATAAGGTGTAGCGCAACGATCGCCAAGATCAACAAGATTCCTAAAATGAAAGGCCAACGACCCAATAAAAAAGAAAAGAGAAAAATTGTGTAAATGAAGACCAACTTTGCAAACAGAAGGAAAATAAGCACGAAGCGCCCTAAACTTATCATTCCATGTGAAAGTGCCATTCTCAGTATATTGGACTAAAGGTCTGTTTACACGGAGCTGGGGGACCCCAGGTAAGTCAGGTAACCCGCCTAAATGGGGTAACCCGCCTGTCCATATCATCTCTTATTGTATCTTGATCACGTTTACATAATAGATGGGGTGATCCGCCTAGGCGGGTTGCCCGGTCTGCCGGGTAGGGTAATCCTATCAGTCGGGATGGCAATCTGCCATGTAAACGTCTCAAGGTGGGGTAACCCGCCAAGCCGGGGTGGCGTTCATGTTACAAAAAAGATTAAACGAGCAAATGATCATAAACGGTTAACGCATCAAGCTATTGGCGAAAATCTTAGAGAAAAATAAATTACGTATTTTCAGCAACGTTTCACCACACGTCGCCATAGTGAAATCTTAATCCCTTAATTGTAAGTGCGACAACAACCTAGAGAAACTTCAGCCCGGCATCCCGGGTTTGTAGGATTGTATGTAAACGCGGGTTATTTTTCGACCACGGCTAGGCGGGTTACATCACCTACCTGGGGTCCCCCAGTTAGATGAATATCCCGCTCGCGAATACCCCAGAAAATGATTCTGCCTCTGCCGGTGTCTGCCTCGTTCTCGTTCGGCTTCTCGCACCGATGACTATGGGCTCGAGATTGGCTCGTTCCTAGGCCTTTCTCGTCTTTCCACTCCCTACGTCATCAATGTAAGCAAAATGGCGAACAACAGTCCTCAGTTACGACTAGATCAGTTCAATAAAGAAAAAAACAACCTTTCTATATAAATTTTGCTATACAATTTTTCTATTTAATTTTAAACTGTATCTTCGGCTTCTAAGAAAAGAGATTGGTTTTTTACAAGTTACAAGTTAAGTACAAGTTTACAAGTATGTTGCCATCAGTCGGTTAAGTTGGTTTCCCCGGCTGATGCACGGTATTGTTAACCACAGCTACACGACGTCTCGACAAAGTCGGCGATTGTAATTGACCTTATTACGACTATGCTCGAGGCGTACCGTTCGATAAATAAATAAAAAAAATTCACTCTGCAACAAGTACAAACCGCACAGCTTTGTTATTCGCCAGGCACTAGACAAATTTCAATTTTCAAGGGAAAATTCATATCACTAGGCTGTCATTTCTTAATCAGTTTGTTTAAAAATCACTTTTAGAGATTTCAGAAACTTTAAGGGGAGCTGAGCCAAATTGGTAACAGTTTGAAAATACTCACACAGCTGCGAATCTTATTATTACTGCTTTTTAGTGGCTGACTCTCCAAAGCTGGTTTACTCACTTTAAATAACAAGACTCATACCAACAAATTTTTACAACTAGCAGCACCCTTAAAATGACTTCTTCACAGCATTAATACATCCAAAGAACTGGAAAAAATGGACAGTTTGAAAATGTTCAAGACTTGAATCTTGCAGTAAATGACCTTCAACAAAACCAACCAATCAGATTTTGCAATCACAACATCAAATATTTGACTTCATCTGCTATGCTCCAGTGCTTAAAACTCATCAGCATGCACAGTGCAATATGAAACATAATTACAGCATTGAATTTGGTAGCACAAATTTACCAGCTACGGGATGAGAGGTGCTAATAATACACACATTTTATAAGACAGAACATATTAGGTTCTCATTTTCATGTCAGAGTGAATATCATGCCTGAACAGTTGCTTGAAAAGTTCGAATGACAGATGTTTCCACTCAGTATTCAATTCATATCAATACCCTAGCTTTTCAACTGATGTTTTAGAGAAAGGAATACTTTAACTTGGATTTGCAATTTAAATCTTAATATTTACAACACCAAATAAACAAACAAAGACGTCCAAATAAAAGTGTGGACGGTTTATCTTTACAGACAAACTCACTCATCATACACTAGACTTACAGTGAAAACTCTGATAAGGCGAGAGCATTTAGTCATAGATAACCCATTATGATAGCATTTAGTCATAGATAACCCATTATGATAACCCAATATCTGCTACAGATATCGAGTTCAAAGGCTGCCAAGTTTCCAAGCCCCTCGCTCGTGTAGCGCTGTTCTCAAACTTTTGCAAACTCTAAGAGAGTGTCTTCTTTTGCAGAGTGTCTTCTTTTTAAAAAATGTATAATTAAAACAATTATTGAATTCGGTCTTCGCATGATATCAAGAAGTATCAAACCTCGCGACTGTGTTACCTGCCTCAGCCTTAAGCCTCGGCAAATAACGACGACCACGGCATTGATTATTCATGAAATTCTCAGCCTCCACTAATAGTTAGCAAAAGGAAACTTTTCATCGAGGAAGCCCCCATTTAAGATCACCGTTTGCCAAAATATTTCCTCATCGGTGTGGCTCAGGAGAGCTGATTTAAGCCCTACGAATAAAGGTAATAACTTTCTAAAGGGACTCTGGTGCTGCGTCAGTGAGGGGTAGAACAAGATAATTTAGTTTTTTCCACTAAGTTGATAAAGTAAATTGGCCGCCATAAAAAGTTTCTACAGCTGAAGTTAGCGCTTTGTCAGAGCGAATGATAGAACCAAATTATCTGATTTAGCCGGGCCCGGCCAGTTGTATCTCATCCAGATATGTTTATAGAGAAGTCTGACCGATGCAACGGAGTAATTCCGGAACTAATGTACATATCATGATTATATTCTTGGCGATGGACGTCGTTTCCCTCCAACCATAATCAACATAAACCACTGCTCGAATTATCAAAGTTGCCAGGTTAACGAGAATCAACACGATAAGTCGATAAACCTTCGCTCCGTTTTCGCTTCCGGGCGAGTGATGTGCTAG